AACAAGAAAGATGTCCCAAAACCCAGGCTGGCACAGACCTACCTCCCAGGACAAATGACCTTCCGAGAGTCACCCAGGACGACCTGCCCCACAGACCGGGCTGGCAGCTAACCAGGGAGCAAACAGGGAAAGCAAAACCCTCAGCTCGGTCCGTCCTCGGATTCCCGGGGGGGGGTTGGCTGGGGAGGGGGCCTTTGGCCACTGGCCGCCGTCTTTCCTGAGGCGGTGGTTTTCACTCTGTCCCCTGAAGGGCCTAGTCCACCGCCAGAGGACTGTGGCTGGCCTTCCTCCTGCCCACCAGAGGCCTGGCGCCCCCTGGGAAGGACTGGTGACCCCAGGGGCGGGGACAGGAGGACAGGGTCTGTTCCTCCATCTGCCACTCCTCCTCCCTGACAGGTGTGTCTCTGTGTGGAGGAAGAGGGCGGGCCTGGTGACTTGCCCTCCTCCTCGGGTGACAGGGCATGGGTGACTGGGCCACCTGAACCTGCTGCTCCCTGGGTCCCTGGTCCAGCGTCCTCGGCTCCGTGCCACCCGGCAGCCCCTGTGCCCGCTCCTGCGGGAGGCCAAGCGTGCACCCCCCCAGGCCGCCCCTGGCCCCCGCTGTGTCCCCCGCCTGCTGGCCTTTGAGACCTCCTCGCCGTCACCCCGTGACACCTCCTGCACCCCCGTCTGCCAGGCACCCCAAGCACATCACGCCCCCTCGGCCGTGTGCAGGTCCACACGGGCTTCTTGCCAGGGACGGAAGCGCCATCCACCAGGCCTTGCCTGACAGGCCCCGTGGCCGTCCCCGCCACGTGGCTGCACCGTGGTTCTTGGGCCCCAGCTGTGGCCACGTGCCTCTGCTCTCCCACCGCTTTCCCCTGGCCCTGCCCAGGGCTCAGGGACAGGGACAGGGGTCCCTCTCCTGCTGCCGTGCCCAGGGACCCTGCTGGGATCTCTCTGGCCTGTTCATTTGCTCTCCTTGGCTCCGGGCTCCGTGTGGAATGTCCCAGCTCCAGAAGCCCTGACCCGGACTAATTAAGACCCATTCCTCGTGACACACACGTGACACACACGTGGCACACACGTGGCACACACATTCACCCTGTTCCCGCTCTGGCCCCTTCCTCGACCTCCGTTCACTGTCTAGGAAGGTGCAGAGGCCCGTGTCCTCCCCAGAGACTGAGGGGACACCAGCCCCTGGCAGGGCTCTCCTCTGTGGTCAGCTCTAAGATGACAGGTAATGAAAAGCCCTGAGGGTGATGTCATCAGCCCTCGAGAGGGGGACTCTGGCTGGCCTCCCTCTGCCTGGAGAGAGGGTCCTGGGTCTTAATTGTAAGTGACGGAGTGTGAAGGTCTTTCCTCCTCTGCTTCATGTCTCCCAGAGACCCCAGCAGAAGTCTGGCTGTGGTGACCATCACCCAAACACACAGGCCACCCTCCTCCTGTACCACACCTGGGCGCGCACACACACGCACACGCACGCACACACACGCGCACACACGCACACCCTCCTCTGGTCCCAGAGGAGCAGGGCAGGGAGCTCGGGTGCTGTAACTCACACCCTCTTCCCTGTGACAAAGGCCACCTCTTTGTAATTAAGAGAAGCTTTGGAATCTCAGGGGTCAGGTCCTGACTCGGCTATTTAGGAGGCGGGTGATGTTGGGAAGCAGCTTTTAGATTTTCCAGAGCTGGGGATTCCACCGGGGCCTAGAGCTCCACCCCAGCCCTTTAAAATGTTGTCTTGATACAGGGGGCGGCTGAGCTGCCCAGGCTGGACTCAAACTTAGGAGCCTCCTGAATAGCTGGGGTCACAGGCATGTGCCACCACACCCAGCTTTGGGAAGGCGTCCTACCCCCAGTCCCTCACACATGAAGTGGAGGCCCCAAAGGCCTGATCATAAGGTCAGTGCAGTTAATTGCCTGGACACTAAGTGTGTCAGGTGGGCTACGTGCAGCATGATGTCACTGTAGAAAATAAAAACTCTGTGTGTGTGTGAGAGAGAGAGAGAGAGAGAGCACGCGGGCAAGTGTCACAGGACCCCCACAGGCGGATCACAGGGCTGCCCCAGAGGTGGCCAGAGGAGCAGCAGCTGCCCAGGCCGGGCCTGGCTCTCTTCAGTCGGCCTGAGCCCCACCACTCCCTGCTGCTCCTCCCCTGGGACCCAGTGTCTGTTGTGTTCATCCTTTGGTCACTGTGTCTCCTTAGACAGGGACAAGAGGAAAATGAAACTCCTTCGTGTGTCCCTCTCCGGGGCACAACTGTTGCTGCGCTTGCACGACTAACGGTGTGTGGGGAAGTCGTCACAACGGTTAAGTGTTCGGTTGTGTGAATCAAGACAAAGCGCTGGACTGTGGGTGGACAGCTGCCTGAACCGGAGAAGCTCTAGCAGCGCTGCTCCCCACCCAGCTCGGTGCACTGCCACGGCGCAGCCCCGGCGGCCTGGGGACGGCTCTGCAGCGCCCTGGGCAGCCCTCCGTCCTGGTGGGTGGCTCTAGGTCTCTCGGGCCTCCGCGGCTGGACCCACTTCTGCCCTAATTTGCCGAGAGGCGGAGACAAAGCCCTGTCCTTCTCGGGGCCTGGTTTCCCACCTGGCGACAGGAGGCCTGGGCCGTCGCTCCGCTCTGCGCCCCTGCGTGGCCCCTGATCTGTCTCCAGAGAGGTGTGGGCGGCGTGCTCCCTCTTCTGTCTTCCCACTTAGCTCTTTTCCCCTTTTTCTAAGCAGGACGTTGTTTTGAGCCCTGAGCCGGGAGCTGCCAGGAGCTGCAGGCCCGACCTCTGTGCTCCTCCGCCCTCGCGGGAAAGGCGGCTCATTCCATTCGCCCTCTGCAAGGCCCAGAGGCAAACCTGGAAAGCTCCTGCCTCTGACCTTGGGCAGCTGATAGAGCCGCGTCCTCGAGCCCCAGCCTCCCGAGCCTCCCCCGGGTGCACCTCACCTGCGGGGGCTCCCTGGAGGCTTGGTGCAGGTCGAGGCCCGCGGCTTGGGTGCGACTGGGCTGCCCTTGGTGACAGCAGGGCCTGTCCCCCAGGGCCAGGTTGCCTGCAGCTCAGACAGCAAGTCACCCAGCTGCTCCCCAGTTTGATTTTGCCCTCAACTTCAGTGACATTCTCTAAACATGTGGTACGTGGACGAGGTTTTGAAAAAAAAAAGGTCCATCCCCTCTAAAGTGACGGAGGCCTCTCATTCCAGCTCCCAGCTCTCCCAGTGCCTGGGCAACGGCCCTTACCCACATCCTGGCCTTCCTCCGGGGGTTCCCGCACAGCCACGATCATCATGGAAGCTAGTCTCTGCTTTATTTTGTTCTGAGGTAGGGTCTTGCCCAGGATGGCCTTGGACTCCTAAGCTCAAGACATCCTCCTGCCTCAGCCTCCCAAGTGGCTGGGACTCCAGGCATGGGCCTCAGTGCCCGGCTCTTCTTTACTGGCCGTTTCTCTGTCCCGGCGCTGAGCGGAACCCCTTGCAGGGATGGATTCTCTGACTCCTCCCACAGGCCCAGGCTCACAGCGGAGGAAGCTGAAGGCAGAGAGGCCGCTTCTTCAGCAAGGGAGGCCGCACTGGACCAGAGCCCAGGGCGCCAGCCCTCTGTGGACACAGCCTGCCGCCTCTTTTCCTCGAAGCCGGTGGCATATAATGTTTTGAACTTTGCCTTCTCGCCCGCCCCTGAAGGAGGCTCAGCCGCCTTTGCAGAGGCTGCCTTGGAAGCCCTGCAGTGATTTCTCTGCAGCCGTGGACCTGGTCCCTCTAACCAGGGACTTGCATGTGCGGCAGGGGAGACGGGAGTGGTCCCGCATGTGCCGGGAGACCTGCATGATGTCCCCCACCCCCCACCTGCAATCTCTGAGTTAAAGCCTGCATTCCCTTAAAAATCGTCCGTTTTTGTTTTCCAAAGAGGTGATGGCGATCCCGTCACCGCGGCTCACAGAACACCTACGTCCCAGAGCCCACCAAGGCGGTCAGATCAGATTCTGACGTTTTCTGCTGATGATTTTGAACCATCTCATAGGAAGCAAAGGTGGGCAAGAGGCCCCTCCTGCCTGCGGGCAGAGCCGTAGCTGAGGGGAGTGACTTCCAGGCCCTGACGCTCACTTCTCTTAGGTCACCTCCTCCTCCAAAGAGCAGCCTTGTCCTCGGGGATACGATTGCATGTCCAGCAAGCTCTGTCCAGCCTCGGGCTCCCCGGGGGACCACAGCTAAGGAACTGGAAGAAACCCCAAAGCCATGAAGAACAGCCACATTTGGTTTCTGGAAAAGCAAAGGATCCAACACTAAGAAGATGGACGCTGAAGATCAGGGTCCAGTGGGGCTCTGCCCCCCATCTTCAGTCTGAAATCTTCAGACCTCCTTCATACTTGACAGCAGTGGCTAAACACACAGATGATGAAGCCCCTGGCCTGGGTTCAAATTCTGCTTCCTCTTCTTGTGAGCTGTGTGACCTGAGATCAACGACTTCACTTCTCTGAACCTTGGTTTTCCCATTTGGGGTATAGGATCCTGATGGGCTCACTTCCCGGAGTACCAGCGAGGCTGAGCCACCCCTGAGCTGCCCCTGATGCTCCCCAGCTGGGACAATGCCTGGGGCAAAGAGAGCACAGGGCCAATCTTAGCTGTCGTCTCCATCATTCACATGATTCATTTGTGCACTTGGCTATTGTTTGTCTAGAATATCAACTCCAGGAGGGGAAAACTTTATGTCCCTTGTTCCCAGGGGTATCCCCTGCCCTGGTGCAATGCCTGAACACGGTAGGCCTTCCGTGAGTGTCCACGGGAAGAATGAGGGATGAAGGGGTGAGTAAGTGAGGGGAAGAGGGCATTCCTGTCTCTCAGCCTGGGTTTGCTCATTTGTTAAATTGGAGATTCTTTTTTCTTTTTTTTTCGTACCACGGATTGAGCTCGGGGCACTTGACCACTGAGCCACCTCCCCAGCTCTATTTTGTATTTTATTTAGAGTCAGGGTCTCACTGAGTTGCTTAGCGCCTCACTTTTGCTGAGGCTGGCTTTGAACTGTCCATCCTCCTGCCTCAGCCTCCTGAGCTGCTGGGATGACAGGCGTGCGCCACTGTACCCGGGTTAAATAGGAGATTTTGATTTCATTCTTTGGGCTCTTCTGTGTTTTCCAATGATCGTCTGATTGCTTTTTGCAACTGGAAGAAAAATCATTTTAAGAAAACATACAGGCTTTTATCAATAATCACCAAATTTGGGAGCAACCAAGATGTCCTTCAGTAAATGAGTCAATAAATAAACTGTGGTACATCAAGATAAGGTGATGTCCTCCTGTGGTTTAAAATAGGCTGTGGGGGGGGGGGCTCTCGAGTTATGGGAAGAAGCGTGACTGTATTGCTGGGTGGGGGCGTCCCGAATAGAGATTTACAAGTGAGGCAAACCTGTGTGAGAGGCAACATACAGTCCAGCCCACGGACGCACACCTGTGATCTCAGCCACCCAGAGGCTGAGGCAGGAGGATGGCAAGTTCAAGGCCAGCCTCAGCAACTTAAGGAGGCCCTGCCGCAAAATAAAAAGTCAAAAGGCAAGAACGTAGCTCAGTGCTGGGGCACTTACCTGGCATGGGCCAGACCCTAGATACCAAAAAGAAAAGGAAAAAAGGCTGCATTCCATGATTCCAGCCGGGTGGCATTCTGGAAAAACCAACCCTAGGGCCGAGTGAATGAATCCTTGGTTGCCAGGTTGGTGGGGAGGGAACGCAGGACGAGCAGGTGCAGCGAGACTGTGGTGCAGGATGCTGTGCTGGTGGGTACACGTCACTGTCCTCCAAAGGCTACAGAGGGTGTAAAGCAAGGAGAAGCTCAATGCCAACGGTGGCTTTGGTTGACAATTAGGTATCAGGACGGGCTCACCCGTGTAACAACGTACCCACCAATGCCAGGTGTTGGTGGGGGACAGAGCAACTGTGGAAACCTGAAACTCTGCTAAAAAACAGTCCGTTAGTTCAGTGTGTGTGCGTGTGTGTGTGTGTGTGTGTGTGATCTAATGGGACATCTCCCACTTTTTAAATGGTGTGGGGAGGGGCCTAGTTTTAAGTCTCACTAACTGACTTTCAAAACACACGCTCCACACCGGCTGGGTCGTTTGGATTTATTCTTTCAACAGTTGTACCTTGATTTTTAGAGAATGTGTTCAAGGAGGAATGAACCCCATGGCCCACAATGATCTCCTCCTAGGACTTGGAAGTTTCTTGGAGAACAAGGGCCAGGTGACAGCGGGGGGCCACTCTGGACCTCTCCCACCACTGGGTGGGCTGGGCCTTAGGGTTCTTCTCTGTGAAATGGGGTTGATTCCAGCGGCGACCTCCTTGGACTGTGGTGAGGGTCATATGAAACAGCAAAGTGCTTGTGAGAAGCTGGTGTGGTAACCGCCCTGGGAGGAGCCTGTGATTGGTATGGAACATGGCGGGAGTGGGGGGTGAGGAAGGCTTTACCAAGGGCCTTGAGATAAGGTGGGAGGAAGCCTTCGTGGGAAAGTCCCCCAAGCCAGGCCCGGGCACAGTCTCCCCCCCCCACACCATCTGGGGACTTCAGCGAACTCAGTTGGGAAGTTAAGTGTGGGGTGGCAGCCGGGGTTTTGAGACCCTCTTGTGAGGCCCCACTTTTGGGGGAACTGGTCTAAAAAGTCTGGGGGGAGGAGCTGAGAAAGAAGAGGTCCCAGAATTAGTGTGTCTCATGATCAAAACCCCAGAACTGTGTCTCCAAAGACATTGTCACTGTGAAACCCCAACCAGGCTGTCACTGAAGACAGAGACCCTCAATGTCACTTCTTTCAGGTGTTGGAAGGTCCGGGCCCATGGGTGGGGAACTTCAGGGCACCACTGCCCCCCCCCCCCAAGAGTGCTGGTGTACTTCCAGGTGACAGTGACCTTGGAGCAATATGGCACCCGGGTGGCTGGGCCTTTTAATGGGCCATCTCCTAATTTTTAAATCTTGTGATGGCCAAACCGTCCTGTCTGGCACTGGACCTGACTCCTGGGCAACTCCAGGCTGGGCGAGGTGGTACATGCCTGGAATCCCAGAGTCCTGGGAAAGGGTCTTGCTAAGTGGCTGAGGCTGTCCTCAAACTTGTGGTCCTCCTGTCTCAGCCTCCTGAGTTCCTAGGGTTGTGACTGTGACCTCATTTTAAAGTGCACACTCCAGGGGCATTAAGTACAATGACACATTTGTGCAACAGTCACCACCATCTACCCCCAGAAGTCTTCATCTTGCAAAACCGGAACTCTGTCGTCACCAGATGGTAAGTCCCGTCCCCCTCCCCTCCGCTGAGTCTCACTGCCGCGGTGCCCTCTAGGTGGAATCACCTGGCCTTTCCGCTGGCCGCTGGGCTGCTTCACTCCCATGACGTCCCGGGGTCCCTGGGGTCCGTTGGTCGTGGCATTTGGCAGGCTGCCTTTTGAGGCGCAGCACCCACTGTGGGTACAGGGCTGCCCGGGTTCGCGGTGTTCTGCGGGTGTGCACCCCGGGGGCTCCCTCCACCTGCTGCTGTGGACACGGACGTCGGGATCTGTCCCAGCCCCTCCCTCCAGTTCTCTGGGCCCATACCCAGTGGGGGACTTGCTGGGTCACATGGTGGCTCTATTTTTAATTTTTTGAGGAACTGCCGTGATCTTTCCACACCCACGGCTCTGCCTCCCTCTCCACCAGCGGTGCCCCGGGCTCCAGTTTCTCCACATTCCTACCAACACTGTCGATTCTGGTTTTTTGTTGTTGTGTGTTTTGGTTTTTGGTCCTGGGGATTGAACCCAGGGGCCTTAACCCCTGAGCGGCATCCCCAGTTTTTGAAATTTTTTTATTTTGAGACAGAATCTCATGAAGTTGCTTAAGGCCTCACTAAGTGCTGAGGCTGGTCTTGAACTTGCGATCCTCCTGCCTCAGCCTCCCGAGTTGCTGGGATCACAGACCTGTGCCTCTGCACGCGGTTCTCGTCTATTTTTTGTGTGCTCGCCCTCCTGATGGGTGAGCCAGGGCCATCCTGATGTGCACCTGCAGGGTCTTCCTCCAGGGTGGCCGCAGTGTCCCACCATGGGAGGATCCTCGGGGGCACTTGGGGGAGCTTGGGGATGGCTGGACTTGTACTGAGGCTGTCACTGGTTTGTCTTGTCCTTGTCCCGTTGCCAACCTGTTGGGTCAACCTGCCAAGAGCCACGAGATCCCCAGGTTCCCTTCATTCCCGTTCACGCTGAAGCCCAAGTGGGCTAAGATCCTGCCGTTGGTAGCAAGCAGCGCGCAGGGAGGCCTGTGGGCTCTGGGGTTGGGACCAGGACGGTCCCAGCTGCCTGCTTCACAGAAAGAGACCCAGGAAGGGAACCGGGGTCTGATGGTGGGGATTCAGGACCCCAGAGCCCCTGGAGGCTGCCCTGCTGCGAGGCCCTTCCCAGCTGGCCTCCTTCCAGGGTCCTGCCTGCCCGCTCCCAGCAGGAGAGCTGGCCTGTCCCCGAGGGCTGAGAAGCCCCCCAGGTGGGGCCTGCTCTGGCTCCCTCCTTTCCCACCCCCAGAGCCTGCCTCGGGCCTGGAAAGGGCTCCCAGCTCTGGGACAGGTGAGTGGGTGGAGTCTGTGGGCCTCACCTGACGGCCCGGGGCAGGGCCCAGCACAGGTGCGCACAACCAGGAACCCCGGGCGCAGAGGAAGTTCCAGGTCAGGAAGGTGGAGGGGGCTGTGGAGGAGAGGGCCTTCCTAAAGGAGACCTGGGCTTAAGGCGCAGCCCTGCCAACGGCCCGGAGCCCCCTGCTATGGCCACTGCCCGAGACTGAATCCCTGTTCCTCACAGTGGCCTGCAAGACCCGCAAGGTCTGTCCCTGGCCCCACCTCTCTGGTCACATCAGCGCTCTGACGGGCCTTGGCTCTCTGCCCCTCCACGCTTGCTGCAGCCACAGGACCTTTGCATTTGCCACCTCTTGGCCTGGAACCCTCCCTGCCTGGCCCCGAGCACAGCTGGTTGCTTGTAAGCCACAGGCTCACGGGGTCTTTCTCCGACCCCCGACGTTGGTTCTGCCCGTCCCTGTCTTATTCCATTCATAGTCTGGTACCCTCTGAAGTTACCTGTGCAATAACTTACAGGTGCTTATGGTCTTTCTTTCTCTCTCTCTCTAGAGAAGATGTCGACTCTGCGAAGCGGCCTGCGTGCCTCCCAGGAGTGGTCTCACTCTCTGGCACCTCAGATGCCCCCACAGGGGACAAAGCCCCTATGACTCTAATTGACAATGAAAATCACAAAGAAGGCGCTCGCTCGCTGAGAGCCAAGAGGCCAGTCTGTGGGGAAAGGGCTTCTCTGATACATTCCGTTCACTTTGCAGAGTGTGCCCCCCCCCCCAGGCACTCAGAGACACTCTCTCCCCCTTCCCGCCCCGGGGGAGGTAACCGCTTCTTAAGGAGGAAAGAATATCGACTGGACTTTCTCTCATTTCCACCTGGGAAGGGGATGTTGGACGTTTGTTGTGATCCTCAGCGGATCCTGGAGACCTGGGCTCTGGCAGGAATTTGCTACGTGACCTTGGGCAGTGCTCCTCCCCTCTCTGGGCCCTACTTTTCCATCCCTCAAATGAGAGGGTGGAAATGTCTGAGACTTGGGCTCTCTCAACGTGGTATTTAGGAGAACACGGCGTCACCAGGAGGAGGAGAAACCACACTGTCCCAAAGTGCCCCTGCCGTGGGTTTCGTCCAGGGCGTCCATTAACAGCCCTCTCACTGGTCTCTGCTCAGCCTCCCAGAGCTCTTTCCCACCCATTAGCTCCCTGCGGCTCGGGAATGGATGGAGGACCACCGGTCTTTGTCCTCACTCGGTCTGACTGAGAGGAAAGGGGCAGAAAGCAAAGCCTCCCCTGCCTCTGCAAACTTACTGGCTGCCATGCCCTCCCTTGGTTCTGCCTCAGGGCCTTTGCACACGACACTCATTCAGCCTGGGACCCTCTTTCCCCAGACACCTCACTTCGGTAGCTCTTCTCTCGAACATCTCCCAGAGGCCTCCTCTGATCGCGCTCTGTTCCCCTACTGTTTGATTTTTCTCTGGGCATTGCTTTTCTTTCTTTCTTTTTTATATTTTTTAGTTGTAGATGGGCACCGTGACTTTATTTTATTCATTTATCTATTTGTACGCGGTTCTCAGGGCCAAACCCAGTGCCTCTCGCGTGCTGGGCAAGCGCTGCCACTGAGCCACACCCAGCCCCCATGGCATTTTCTGGAGGCTTGACAGTGGACACTCTCTTGTTGACGGTCTGTCTCTGGAATCCAGTTCCATGAGCCGAGGGCTCTGCTCGGTCTTCTTCATCGCTGTGTCCACGGTCCCCAGCAGGCGCCTGGAACAGGGTCCAACTCAATAATTTCGGAACCAAATTTGTCTCTCAGAGATGCAGAGGTGAAAGTGACCTTAAAAGATGGATTTCACTGTCCCCAGGCCCAGTCTGGTGGCACCCCGGTGGGCCTCTCTTCTGTGAGGGTCTCAACAGAGATGGAGATTCTGAGAAACAAGCCGGGTTCCGTTTTAGCTTCACGATAACAGTGGTGGAAGGAGTGGTGTTGTCAGCAGTTTTGGGGATGGAGCACCCAGGGGTGCCCTACCACTGAGCCACACCCCAGCCTTTTGTATTTTTTATTTCGAGACAGGGTCTTTCTAAGTTGCTGAGGCTGGCCTTAAACTTGCAATCCTCCTGCCTCAGCCTCCCAAGTCACTGGGCCCCTGTGCCCAGAATAAAATGGTCTTCATTGTGGCCAAGGCCTCTGCACTTTCCTTTCTAGCCCTTTCTCACCTTCTTAAGGGGTGGGTGAGACAGAAAAAAAGAAAAAAAAAAAAAAAAGGCAGGATGTTGCAGATGAGTAATATGAACAAACGCTAAAAAAGAGAGAGGGGTCCCTGGGCCCAGGAGCAGGGGTTCCCAGCTGTCTCACTTCTCCATAGCATAGGTCAGTAACGGGCGTGGCCACTCCTCAGGGACAGCCAGGAGGCCGTTTACAGCCGAGGAGCCTGGGGTGCTGACAGGAGGCCAGGGCGGGGATCCAGGTCACAGGCCAGGTCAAACCCAGGGGGACAGGTTCAGCCACACCACCCACTCTCGAGGCCCCGAAACCCCTCCAGGAGTGAGATCCCCTGTAGCTGAGGCGAGGAGCAAGGCCTCCGGGGCCAGACGCCTGTCTTGGAAACTGTGCTACGTGACCTCGTGTGAGCACGTCACTGCTCTGTGCCTGGTCTCAGCTGGAAAGTGGGGTGAAGGTGACGGTGACAATGATGGTGTCTGTGTTCACGAAGATTCACCCAAGGTGCTGAGGATGGAGACCAGCCCAGGCTGGTGGTTTCTGGTATCATCCTGTGGCACACACGCTCCGTGTCCCTCACACAGGCACCCCAGGCCCAATTCCGGTGGGCTTCCTGGAGGAAGAGGAAGAGCCAGCCGCAGCTGAGTGGCAGACCTGGGGCCAGGCTTAGATGTCCTCCCTGCAGGAAGTCTCCCGCGTAGCGGGCGTGGCCACCCCAGCTTTTACGGCCCTCCCCCTCCACACTCAAGCTGGCTCCCCACCAGGTCATGTGCCTATCCCCTCCGTCCCTCTGTGTGTGACTCAGCCTGGCAGCTGGACCGAGGGTGGGAGGACAGCATTGCCAGGGGCCGCTCGGAGCAGCTGCCTGACTGCAAAGGTCGGGGTATTGGGTTTCCCTGTTGTCCCCTCTCCCTGGGAGACGGGCACGGGACTCCAGCTCGGGAACCACCGGTCACCTGCTCCAAATCAGGGCTCGGCTGTAAGGCGTCTTCTCATGGAGTGCTTCCCGCCACCGAGGGCTGAGGGCAGCCAGTGCTATTTTGGTCATTGCTATGGAGTGAGGCTCACTGAGGCCCAGCGTCCTGCTTGATGTCCCTCAGCTGGTGGGGCTGGGACCCAACCGCGGTTTGCAGAGTTCAAGCCAGCAGCCCGCCCACCCGGACACAGGCCCCGGCACCCGGTGCAAGCGCGTGTGCACATGGTGTGCCAGGCAGGGGGCCCGGCGGTCCCCGTGGTCTGATTCACATGTGCCCATCACAAGCACAAGCTAGGCCGTTCACATCTGTGTACTGTTGTAATTTACATTTTCCATTTATTTTTTAAAAGGGTTTAAAAAATGATTGTATTTAAAATAATGATTTTGAAGGAGAATTATAACTTTGGGGCTTGTCTTTTCTGGAATTGGGATAATCTCTGAAAAATAAATAGCTCATCACTTACCACATTTCCAGGAGCTCCCCGTCCACTGCTCGTTACATATTCCTAGGTGTTCCAGAAGGTAGGAAGGAAACAGGGTCTGTCCACGGATCAGGAGATCAAGCCCAAGATCAAGCGGATCTTCTGATCCGCTCTGTTTCCTTGACAGTGGTGGCCAGGCCATCTCTGTGACCCACATGGGTGTAGGAACCCCTTGAGGTCGCGATCCCCACACCGACCCTCAGGTACCTGGAGACAAGCCGCGGACAAGCCCTGCTCCTTCTCTACTGCCTCAGAGACAAACTCTGCCTGAGATCCGCGTGGGGAACGGTTCTTAAACCAGCAAAGTCGGGCTCCCACCCCGGGAGGACCCCTGGGGCAGTTGGGGTCGTCTGCAGACTCCAGGCGGCTCAGGCTCCGTGACTCTGGGCTTGGTAGGTTGCCGAGGCAGGGTTCGCCCGTGACCGGGGAGGTCATCTCTGGGCCGCTCTGTTCTGTTTTAATCTTTGTTGTTGTTGTTGCACCTGACAGCAGACGCCTGTCAATTCCTCGCACACAAACGGGGCGCCACAGGGCTGGGGTTGAGTTCCGGGGCAGAGCGCTCGCCCACCGCGCGTGAGGCACCGGTTCGATCCTTGGCACCGCATGTTATTGTGTCCACCTACAACTAAGAATAAATATCAGCAAACAAAACAAAACAGACGGAGCACGACATTTCAATTCTCTGGTTGTACCCGGTGTAGAGAGGCACCATCCGTGCAGTCCTCAAACGTGTTCCACCATCTCTCCTACCCCGTACCCCTCCCCACCTCCCCTTTGCCCAATCCAAGTTCTCCCCCTGTCATAGATCAGCAGCATCCACTAATCAGAGAAGACATTCAGCCTTCAGTTTGGGGGGGGATTGGCTTACTTCACTTAGCATAATCTTCTCCAACTCCATCCATTTTATTCTCTTTTAATGCCACAGTTTTATTCTCTTTTAATGCTGAGTAAAATTCCATTGTGTATACACGCCACAGTTTCTTATCCTTCATGGATTGATGGGCATCTAGGTCGGTTCCACAGTTTAGTTACTGTGAATTCAGGTGCTATAAACATTGGTGTGGCTGCGTCACCATAGTATGCTGATTTTAAGTCCTTAAAGTGGGACAGCGGGGTCAAACGGTGGTTCCATTCCCAGTTTTCTGAGGAATCTCCACACTGCTTTCCAAAGTGGTGGCACTGATTTGCAGTGCCACCAGCCGTGTAGGAGCGTGCCTGGTCCCCACCTCCTGTCCAACACTTATTATTGCTTGTATTCTTGAAGATTGTCATTCTGACTGGGTGAGATGAAATCTTCGTTTTGATTTGCATTTCTCTGATTACTAAAGATGTTGAGCACTTTTTCATATATCTTTGATTGCATGCATATCTTCTCCTGAGAAGTGTCTGTTCAGTCCCTTAGCCTGTTCACACACTGTTTTGTTTTTTTTCTGGAGTTAAGATTTCTGAGTCCTTCATATATCCTGAAGATGAGTGCTCTACCTGATATGAGTGTGGTGAAAATTTGCTCCCATTCTGTAGGCTCTCTCTTCACCTCATGATTGTTTTTTTTTTTTCTGAGAAGAACCTTTTTAGTGTGAATCCATCCCATTTATTGATTCTTGATTTTATTTCTTGCTCTGTGGGAGTCTTGTTAAGGAAGTTGGGGCCTAACCCAACATGAAGGAGATTTCTTTTGGCAGAGACTTCTTTAGGGCTCCTGGGAATCATGGCCATTAACTCTCCATCCAAGGGTGACTCAGCTGCCCACGAGGGCCAGTTAGGTCGGGTCTGTGGACTGTTAGATCTACGCAGACTTTTTAGCTATTTTTTTTTTCTTTTTTAGAAAAGGTGCATACTCGTAAAGCACATTTGGGCTGAAATCACACCCACAGTCTCTGAGTTTGGAGCCTATCATGTCCTCAAAATGCCTTTTCAATTATTGGCCGATGGATGACCCCACACTGCCTGGCGAGGTCTTAGGGTCCTTCCTCTCCTAATGGTCAGAGGCCTGAGGGAACAGGTCTCCTACTTTACAGATGAGAAAACTGGATTCCAAGTGGCGAATGGGCGGCTTTCAGTATTTAATACTTAAAGTTCATACTGAAGTCAGTGTCCAATGATGGGGGATTCAACCTAAATGCCAAGGTCCAGCTACTTGAGCAAGAAGGGGACGAGGATATAACAGAGAGCTGGTGTCAGCCAGCCTGCACCCTGTGACACACGAGCTGGTCATGGTGCTAATGTGGTCCACAGGACCAAGGGAAGGTCACGGAGGGGAAGAGGCTGAGAAGGACCTTGGCCCTGGTCTCCTTCACCTGAAGCAGGATCTAGACCAAGGTCAGCAAATGCCTCCTTTTCCAAAGGGCCCGAGAGCGGATATCTCAGGGCTTGCGGGCCCCACCGTCTCGTGGCAACTGCTCCACTGAGCCCCTGGAGCACAAAGCAGCCACCCACAGTGGGCAAACCAAGGGCCGTGTGCCAATAAAACTTTATTTATGGACGCCGAGATCTGAATTTCATATCATGTTCCTGGGACACAAAACAGTCTTCTTTTGAATTTTTCCTCCAGCCACTTAAAAATGTAGAACGGTTCTTAGCTCACAAGCTGCTCAGACACCGGCAGCGGCTGGACTGGGCAGGTGGCTGGAGTTGGCGACCCCTGATTTAGAAGGCGCAGGGGAGGGGTGAGGCAGGGGAGGAGGGTGCTGGGGCAGGGGGTGGGCAGGTGCAGGGTGGGGTGAGCCCCAGCTCCGCCCGCGGGCCCTGCAGACACGACCTTGACACCAGCACCCCGGCGCACCCCAAACCCACGCAGCAGAGCTCTGGGTCCTTAAAGTGAGCCGTTTTTTCAGATAGGCCCCGTCTGGCAGAGTTCTCAGAAGAGCAGTCGACAGCTCACTGGAAACCCCCAGCCCAGCCAGCCCGGGCCCTTGTCCTTCTGACTTCTGCCCCAAAGGTCACTGGTGACTTCCTCGCTGCCAAACTGTAACGGCTCCTCTGGGCCCTGTCAGGGGCGGCCGGGGGGCTTTTGGAGCTGCTCACCAGCTCGGCTTCTGGGAACTCCATCTTGTCAGGGCTCCTGGGAAGCCACTCCTCAGGCGTCCCCCGCCCTCCCGCCTGCTGGGCAGCTCCTCCTGGGCCTGGCCCCCCTCCAGCAGGGGACAGAAAGCTACCTAGGGCCAGGGAGGCGCGGCCAGCAGGACCGTGGTGCAGTGTGTTCTTGAGACCCAGCGCACTTTTGGTGGCTAGAGTTTTGACAACAGATTTGACATTTCAGGACTTAACACTTGACATAGATGTGGGTCCTCACTCCCCTGGTAGTGGCTACTCTTATTATTTTTTTCAGGTGAGGAACAGAGGCACAGAGAAGTGGAGTGACTTGTGTGAGGTCACGCAGCTGGACAGTGGCAGTCGTCAGGTGAGCCCGGGCCATGTGGCTCCGGGAGTGTGTCCAGGACGTCCCCCCTCCAGTCCCATTGGCCATGACATAGCCTTCTCCCTGCTTACCCAGGTCACTCCTCTCCCATTTCTCACGTGGACGATGTGTTCCCGTCCTCGCGGGATCCAGTGACAGAAATCCTGACTCTTGGGGCTGATTTTACCAACATTTAGAATGTGTAGATCCTGAACCCAGCCATTTCTTTGTGGGTTACTGTCCCAGAGAAACACGGTGCCCGAGGAGAGGAGCATAAATACAGGACACTGTCCAGGATGAGAACTGGGGAGCAACCTGAGTGTCCACCCACGGGGGACACATGACAGAGTGTCCTGGGGGCCAGGTTACAGGAGGAACAAGGGCTGCACCTGCCGACATAGAAAGAGCTGAGCTCTATTTGTGGACATGAAAGAAGCAAATTGCAGAAAAATGTGCTTTGGGCCCAGATTTATTTTTTAGGGGAGACGAACCCCAAACTGGCGCATGTTGGAAACACACTCTGTCACTGAGCCGCGTCTCATCCCCACCCCCTCCATGTATCTGAGGTGTGAAGGAGACTTAATAACAGCAAGACCCTGGTTCAGCTACGTGGAGACAAAACAGCCCGACTCTTTGGTTGGTTGGTGATCGCTTACAAAAGCTAATCCCGGGACCCAGGTATCCCACTCTTAAGAATTTGCTCAAGAAAAAATGAAGACTTGTCCACTGATGTTCGCAAGTAGCTTCACTCATGACAGCCTCCAGGAGGAGACACCTACCCGATCCTCCCAAGTTCGGGGAGGCCCGGGGGTTCAGCGCACTGTGGAGCACTACTCAGCAATAAAAAGGGACAGGCGGCGGGAGCCTGGATGACTCTGAGCGCATTATTAATGCCGAGTGAAAGAAACCAGACTCCGAGGAGTACACATGGGCCATGTGACTCCAATTAGGGCGCAGGCAAAACTAATTCATGGCGACGGACATCAGAGGGGGGGTCGCCGTGGGTGGGGGCTGGGCATCACTGGGAGGGGACCCAAGGGGAATTTCTGAGGCGATGGAAATGTTCTCGGTCTCCATTGGAGGGCGGCACACACGGGCGTGACCTTTTGTCAAATCCATCAACCCCCTGCTTCAGGTCTGTGCGCGTCGCTGTGAGTAAAAGTCCCCTAATCATAAATCCCGGCATGTTCCGTGCGCGTCTGTGGAGGCTGGGAACGCAGGTGATTTTCATTTTCTCCTTGGGCTCCTCTGGGGTTTCCGGGACTGGCCATGCGCACACACAGGGCTTTGGAGAGAGCAGGACAGAAGTTTTAAGAGTCACATGGCCTGCACACTTACAGACCAGAACTCGCACCTCCTGTCGATCTTTATTTGTCCTTTGAGGAGGTTTTTCTTTCTTTCTTTTTTTAAGAAGGAGAGGAAGGGGGAGGCCGCGAGTGGAGGCTACCGGTGCTCCCCCGCAGGCCGGCTCCTCCGCGAAGTCCCCCTGGGTTTTCCTCCCACCCGGGCCCTGCGCGCTCTGCGGGGCTCCTGGCCGCGGGCTGGGCAGGTCCCTCTCCGTCACTGTCACCACTAAACCGTCCCGGGCTGATGGGGGGCTAAGGGGGAACCGAGAGGGCGACCTCGCAGCCCCGGGTGGGAGGCCCTGCGTGGAGTCCCGCGGCCTCTGCCCCGGGAAGGCTGGGGCGGCCGTCCCCGGGGGAGGTGGCTGCGACCTGCGGCGGACCCCAGCGCCCCGGGCCGGGGACCCAGCTTCGCCCCCGCCACTCGCATTGTTTCCGGCTCTGGCGACACAATAGAGTCTCGCTGCGGCCCAGGAAGCGTCTGCAAAGTGCCACCCGGAGGCCGCGCGGCTCGGAGGCTGCATCGGGGACGCAGCGGGGGCGCGGGGAGCCGCGGACTCCAGGGGCCACGCGGCGGGAGCTGGGCACGCGGGACGCCCGCGGCCGGAGGCTGGGCGGGGACCTCAGGGACAGAGCCACGCCGACGCCCCCGGAGGGGACCGCAGGGACAGGGTGCTGTGGGGTCCTGGCGCTTCTCCGCGGCCCCACTGGTAGCACCCCGAGCCCTAGCGGGCGCCCTGTTTCCTCCTCGCTCTGTGACCGCGGGCAGCTTTCTTCACCTCTCTGGTCTCGGTTTCCTTTTCTACGAAATGGAAAGAATGACGGGCCAACCTGGCAGGGGGGCTGGGAGGAGTCGGCGACTTCACAGGCAGGGCTCGGTGTCCCCTGGAAGACGCCCCGCAGGGCCGTTTTCTGTCACCAGGGCCGCCCCCCGCCCCACAGCCCTTTAAAAACCCAGTCGGGCTGGGGCTCAGCGGTAGAGCGCCTGCCTGGCGGGTGCGGCCCTGGGCGCGATTCTCAGCGCCGCCTAAAAATAAATAAATAAATGAAATAAAGGTCCATCAACATCTAAAAATATATATATTAAAAAAAAAAAAAAAAAAAAAAAAAAAAAAACACGAAACACCAGGGCTGCGGCACCCGAGAGGCTCAAGAGGCTGAGGCAGGAGGATGGCAAGTCCAAAGCCAGCCTCAGCAACTTAGTAAGGCCCTGGGCAACTCAGCGAAACCCTGTCTCTAAATAAAAAAATACCCAGAAAAAAGGGCTGAGGATGTGGCTCAGTGGTGAGGGCCCTGGCTTCAATGCCGTGCACAAACAAACAAAAAAACCAAGTCTGATGGTGCTTTGCCCTTCAATCCCTATCAGCTGCACTTTGGATACAACCGACAGTTCCGAGGAGGACCCTGCGCCCTCCCCACAGGCCCTTCCAACTTCCCCCTCCTCGGCTCTTCTTTCACTGCTACCTCCTCCCTGGCTCCTTGCTGCTCCTGAAAAATCACAGATTCAGCCCAACCCCAGGGCCTTTGCACTTGCCATTTCCTCTGGCTGGAAAGCTCTTCTTTCCTTTTCAGAGCTGAGAATTTGAATCTCAAAAAATTCTCTTCAGTATTGAAATCACAGCTGAATTATCCCTTCTCCGTGGCACCTCCCCAGTCCCCCCACCCCGGGCCGTGGCATGGGCCTCCTGCATGGTTGTGTGTTTGCTATGGAAGCTTCACAGGGTTGGAACTTGGCCTTACTCCATTCACCCGTGAAGGCAGGTAGGGACAAGTTCTTCCGGGGAGTTAGGCAGGTATTGGTTCAAGTTCCGAGATGTTTTTGAGGTGCTTGTAGGATTGCTCAAGAGGATGTCAGCTAAGTACCTCCCAGGGGTCTGGAGGGATGCTGAGGAGTTCCAGCCAGGAGGCGTGCTTCTGCCTAGTTCACCCTATGCGGGATGCATCCCACAAGATGGCTTTGCCACTAAGAAATGATGACCACACCCAGTGTGGCTTCATCAATGCCTTGAAGTAGAGCAGTCCTAGGGTTGGCTGATCAATTCAGCAACTCACCAGCAAGTGTCAAACATCTAGGTTCTTTCCATCTTTTCTTGTGATGGCACAGTCTCTCTCATGGACCCAAGATGGCTGCCACATCTCCAGACACTGTGCTCTTACAGCAGCATCCACAGGTCAGAACACAAGAGGTCAATTTCTTTCCCTCTATTCTGTTTCAAGAGGGAAGAAAATTTTCCCTGAAGCTTTCCGTAGACTTCCATCAAATCTTACGGTTAGAAATGTCCTTGATTGGCGAAGACCTTAAGATTTGCCCACTGGGGAGTAGGAAGGGGTTCCTTCTCTCCAGTTTGACCTCACACGGGTCAAACCTGGGCTTTCCACAGGGCGAGGGGGAACTGTGCTTTGGTGACCAGTGGTGTCTTCTGTGGGTGTAGACGATAAAGCCTGAGTGTGCTTCTGCTGTTGGGGAGGTACCAGGAAGTGGCAGGGCCAGGAAACGGGGGGGGGGCACCTCGTCTTGCTGCGCGCCTGCTGTAGGGGAAGGCCGTCACTGAGCCAAGCACTGCCCAGTGCTGGAGCGAGATAGGGTGGCGGAGCGGCCGCTGGACAGGGAGTCCAGGTCCAGACCAGGACCTCGATCCGAGCAGCCGCGGTGGAAGGAGGGTCTCCCTGGAGCCCGCGCCCGCATCCCCTGTGGCTGCCCGACTCCGCGCCCCCAGTGTCATCTGGATTCTGAGAACCGCTTCCTCGCTGGTCCCGCATACCGAGGGGGCCACCGAGGTGCCCCACGAGGGAGCAGCTCGGCACAGCTGCCCTCCGGGAGGCAGAGTGTGCGGGTTGGAATGGAGACGGGGAGGAGCCTCTCTGGGCCTTAGCTTTGCCTCTCAGCATCTGTTCCTCTTCTTCTCCCTCTTTTTTTGTGGTGCTGGGGACTGAGCCCAGGGCTCCGAACATGCCAGGCAGATACTCTACCAACCAAGCTACATCCCAGCCCCCCTAGTGCTGAGGCCCCAGTTCACCTTTGGGGATCTGTACCCACCCTCAGTCCATAAGGTTCCAGTGGGACTCACCCTTCCTTGCTAGCAGGAGACACCCGGATCAGGCCTGGTCATTCAGTCGGTGATTGAGCATGTTCCAGTCCTGGCCCCTCCGATTCAGCCTTCCAAGACAGACCCTGGAGAAAGAGGCAGTCCCTTTGAGCACCTGGATCCATCTGTGCCTGAAGCTAAATAGACATTTTACTTAGATGCACCAATACATTCCCTGTTTTGCCTGAACTTGAGTTGGGTTTCTGCCATTGCATCTTAAGGATCCTTGACAATATGGAAAAGCAAGTTGAGGGATGAGTTCTGAATGTGGAAATTAGAGAGTTAAGGTTGACCTAAGAGGTGTCTTCCTGGGAGGACAGAGGAGCTTCTTAAGATGAGGCCAAGGTCAGCCCCATGGTGCACACCTGTAATCCCAGCTACTCCAGAGGCTGAGGCAGGAGGATCACCACAAGTTTGAGGCCAGCCTAGGCAACGTAGGGAGACCCTGTTCCAAAGCAAAGGGGAGGGGGGCTAAGAACGTAGCTCAGGAACACAGCACTGGCCCAGCATGCCGAGGCTCTGGTTCAACCCTCAGTGCCCAGGGGACGGGGAGTTAGGCAGGATGGGAAACAAACACTGCATCATTATTCAACAGATGCTCCTTGAGGATCGTCGATCCATTTTCTGCTGCTATAACAGAATACCCGAGGCTGGGTACTTCATAAAGAACAGAAAGTTCTTGGGCTCAAGAAGGCAGAAGCTTGCTTTGATGACAGATCTACTCAGGACACCTGGCTCACTCCTGTGGTGACAACCTGAACCACTGGGAAGCACAGAGCCCTGCCTCCCAACACTGACACCGAGGACCAAGGTCCAGCACGTGAACTTGGGGACACAGCCAGACCTCACCAAGGACCACGCGGCGGAGCTCTGGCACCTTCTCACGGTTCCGGAATCGGCTCTGTCCACGGGACCAGGCTGGGGGCGTCGAGCAGTCGCCCACGTGGAAATGACGTCACGCTGCACAAAGAAAGCCACCAACTGATTGAAAGGAGCAGCGTGGGAACTTCCGCGGGACTGTGGGAGCGGCGTCCAGGTGCAGCGTGGTCAGCAGAGGGTCCATCGGATTTGCAAATCCGAGTGCAGAGCTTCGGAGCTGGCCTTTGAGATCAGATTTGCGGCAGGTCCTGGAAGAAGGGGAGGTGCTGGGGGGTCCCGCGGCCCCTCACCCTCTTCCCGCTGTTGAGTCGGGTCCGACGCCCAGGGAGGGAGTCCTGGCCAGCCCTGGACAGCTCCCGAGGTCGCTGCTGGAATCCAGGCGCCCAGGCCTGGCGGGTCTGCAGTCGGAGGCAGACACTCGCCTGCATTTTAAGCAGAGCTCCACAAGAGCCTGACTCAGGCCCAGTGGAGCGGGACAAATGAAAACTCGGGAGGGAAAGACGGATTAGTCACCGGAACAGTTCGCCTTTGAGAATGGAGCCCCCACGGTTGCCCTCCTTCCTCAGCAAGAAGCGGATGTCACCAGGGACGTGGGATAAAGCCTGGCTGGTGGGGGCTGCCACCGCGGGGGGAGGGGGGGCTCAGTGGGGCCGAGCCTGGACTCCGCTGGTGCCCTGGTTCTGTTGCGCAGGTTGTCTACTGCTGACCCCCGCGGAGGTGTGAGGCTGTGTGTGGGCCCCTCTGCGTTTTCCTGTCTTAGTACATAAGACAGGAAACAAGGCATGAATACTACACAGACTTGAAGAGAAGACACCTCTTTCTCAGCTCAGAGATCAGCAAACTACAACCCGGGGCCACTGTTTTTATAAAGTTTTATTGGAACGTGGCCATGCCCACTCATTTACAGATTGCCCGCGGCTGTGTCAACAGTGCCACCGCAGCCTGGGCTGCACAGAAACTGTGTGATCCATAAAGTCAAAATACGCACCATCCGCCCCTGTTGGGCTCTGGTCAAGCATATGACAAGGGTCAGCCACTGGGCGCGACAGAACTCGTCCTCGTAGTCCTGTTGACAGGGAAGGGCACGCTCAGAATCTCAAGGACGGTCAGGAGCCAGCCTCAGGGTCCAGGCCACCAGAGCCACAGCCGGAGCCTTCCGAGGGATGGCGCCAGACGAGACCCAGTGACAGCCACCCTGGCCCCCCGCAGGTGTGTGCCCTCGGGCTCCTGAACACCGGGGCCTCTGAGGTCGCAGCCCCTGGCTGTGGCCTCCTACCTGCTACAAATGCACAGGGACACTGTGGAGGGCTCACGATGGCCTCGCTCCAGGGCTCTGGGGCAACTGTGCCCAGCGGAGGCGGGCAGGAGGGGAACACGGCCTTGTTTGCTTGTTCTGGTTCAAGTTCACATTGGCCATGGTGACGGTGGACCCAAGGCCCACACCCAACGGAGGGGTCACTGCCGCACAAGGGCCGGGGGCACGGCCTGGCCTGCCATCTGCTCCCCAGGCAGCATTCAGACCGGTGGCCTCTGCCACCATGAAGCCACTCAGGGGTCACCGTCCCAAGCAGCTCGGAGGGACAGGAGGAGGAGGAGCCGCGAGGAGGCTGCAGGGCCAGCGCCGAGGAACCAGCCTCCCCCGCGGGTGCCCAGGGCCAGCTCCCGGGCCCCTTCACCTGCGGAGGAGGCCGGAGGTGGGCCCCCAGTTGCCCAGGACCAGAAGGAAGCCCCCGGGGCAGCGCCGTGGCTGAGGGGGTTGTGCACCCCCGACACAGCCGAGTCCCACCGGCCAGAGCAGCGACGGCGACCTCGCCAAGGCCGGGCTGAGGGGGAAGAAGCAGGAGCTCGGGGGCCTTGGGTGTAAAACCGGAGAAACACATAAAAAGCAGAACGTCTCCGTCTTCATGTGCTTTTCACCACGACTATTTGGATACACGTAGATCCAAACAAATGTATGGCAGATGGACGAGAGAACACTCTGGAAATATCCCCGCGTGGGTGTCTGTGGGGAGAAGGGAGCAGAGGAGTGGGGCGGGCCAGGGAGGCAGGAGTAAGAGGGGAAGGAGGGAGAAGCCACAGGCCAGGGGCCATGCTGCCTGCCAGCCCAGCAGGGTGGCCCTCTGCCTGGTGCATCTGCTGTCCACGTCGAGAGGGGGAAGCCGCACAGCCAAGCCAAGCAGCCGGGCACGGAGCTCACTCCTGTAGTCCCAGCGGCTCCAGAGGCTGAGGCAGGAGCATCCCAGGTTTGAGGCCAGACTCAGAAATTTAGTGAGGCCCTAAGCCACTTAGGGAAGCTCTGTCTCAACATGAAAAATAACAGGGGCTGGGGGTGTGGCTTAGCAGTCGAGCAGCCCTGGGTTCAATTCCCAGCACTGCACAAACGGCACCAGCAAGAAAAAAGTGTATAAGGAAAACAGATCCTACAATTCCATCCCCTAACGTGAGTGCTCTTGCTATTCACACACACACACACACACACGTACACACACGTACACACACGTACACACGTATGTACACACATTGACAGTATTGGGATCACAGTCTACAGGTAATGTGTCTATTGGGAGTTTTCATTTTAATAATTTAGTACCTATGATTTATATTCTACTCCTTCCCTCCTCATTTGCCCCGTTGATCGTGAGCATTTTTCCTATTTCACGAAGTAGTCTTTGGGCAGACTTTCCAATGGCTAAATAACTTTCCACATTGCAGACACGCCATGCGGGATTCCAGTATTTAATACTAGTGAGAACACAGGGCTATTATAATGATGCTGCAGTGAACATCTTTGTGCATTAAAGTTTGCCAGACGGAGTGATTATTTCTGTAGTTTAGATTACCAGAATGAAAACAGGCAGGGGACATGAATGTACGTGTGTATATATGCATGTACATATGTATTTATTTGTAAGTGATTTTTTAGATGTTGATGGAGCTTTATTTTATTCATTTATTTATATGTGGTGCTGAGAATCGAACTCAGTGCCTCACACACGCTAGGCAAGTGCTTTACCTCTGAGTCACAACCCCAGCCCTTGTATATATTTATTTTTAAGGCTTTGGATGCATGTTTAAATTGGGAAACAGAATATAGACAAAAGTGCTTAAACATAAAACATAACACAAAAATTCCCATGACACACCATGCAGGTGAAGAAATAGAACATTGCCCAGGGTACAGCTGTGTACACACTTGTGATCCTGGTGACTCAGGAGGCTGAAGCAGGAGGATCGCAAGTTTGAGGCCAGCCTCAGCATCTTAGCCAGACCCTGCCTCAAAAAATGAAAATAAAATAAAACAAAAAATTAAAAGAACTGGGGAAACAGCTCAGTGGTAAAACACCCCTGGGTCTTCCCCAGCACTAAAAATCAAAGGAAGAAAGTTGCCAGACAGCAGACCCCTCAGGCCCCTGAGTCTCGAGGCCGGTGCTCCCCTCCTTTCCTGATAGGTCTGCTACCCCCTGCGCACCCTGGGCGCTGTGGTGTAACAGGGCTTTGAGCTCTGTGTAAATGGACTCATCCACAAAGTGCCCTTTCCTGCTGGCTTCTCAGCTCAGCGCTGATTCTGAAGTCCCCGCCCCCCGCCGCTGCGTGGAGCTGGGGGAGGCTTCCCGTCCACGTCCTCTGTTTTCTCCGAATCCAGTCCGCATCAGGCTCACACTTCTGAGGACCTAACCCCGGTGGTGGGCAGGGAGCCCTGTTCCCGTGTTTTTGAGCATGTTGGGGTCTGTGAGGTCTTCTTGTGACCCCAGCGTCCCGTGGAGACCTGGCAGACAGACCTGGCTCCTAATGTCCTCATCTGCCCCAGGAGGAAGCTGAGGCTCTGAGGGAGGGGACCGTGAGGGTGGCCCTCTGCCCGTTTCCACCACGAGAGGAAACACGAGTGTCCGCTGCTCCGTCCGGTTATCCTAAAGTGACCAGGGAGCTCTGTGAGCAGCTGGGAGTGACCGTCGATGACACCCGTCCTTGTGGGCTCACGGCCTGCCCAGCCCTGGACGCTGTGTGGCCGGGCCTCGCCTGTTCTCTTCTCCAGCACGTCCCCTCCCCACGTCTCCCCCAGGCGCGGCTTCAGCTGTCTCCTGACGATGCTAAGGTGACGTGTCTGGGCCACCGCTCCCGAGCCCACCCAGCGCCTCCACCCGGACATCTAAGTTGACATCCGACGCCTCCCCATCTTCCCCACCCACGCGGTCCCGTCCTGGTGGGTGCCCAGCCCAGCCTTCCAGGCCTGCAGACCCACGCCTGGAGTCGCCTGTGACCTCTTCCACCCTGGGGTTTGGAGCCCACCCGTCAGTCAGCGCCGTCACAGCGTGGACGGCTGCGGTGCCCTCCCCAAGGGTCTCCCCGCTTCCGACCTGGCCGTCTCCTATTCCTGGGTGTCATTGTGCCGAACGAAGTGGTCAGACTGCCCCATCCACAAATTGGCGGGAAAACCGGTGTAATTCCAAATCAGTTTTGGAGGGAGACGGGATCGTGTGTTTTAAATCGTCATCTTGAGAGCACTGAGGCCGGGAAGGGCTTTGGTAAAAGGCGGCAAAGCGGCACAGCAGGCAGAGGGGCAGGTGCAGACGGAGCTGCCTGTCATGTCTGTCACGTCAGCCAGGGCTCAGCGTCGCGTCCCCGGCTGCTCAGGCCAGGGTGAGCAGCCCTCAGCCCCCGCTCTCAGTGTGGAGCCTGAGTGTCCCGGGAGCCTGTCTCCGGGGAGCCCCAGGATCCTGTTGGCACCTCAGGCAGAGTCCTTCCCCTGTTGAGAGCCTCCCGCCTCTTGGGGCCACCTCCAGGCTGTTCCCTGGCCTCCTGCTGGCCTTCCCTGGCCGCCCCAGCCTCCTGCCCTGTCCTGCTGTCCTCCTGCAGGCCTACCTCTTGCTGGGGATGTCACCTCCTCGCCCCCTGGAATGCTGCCCCAGCCCTCCTGGTCATCCCACTCGTTTCCTGTCCTTGACCTGGTGGACCCGGCCTTTTTACGGTTTCTACCGACGACGGACTCTCTTCCCCAGGACGCCCGCCGCTCTGACGTGCTTCGTCTGTTTTGCTCGCTGGTCTCCTGGAGCCTGGGGGGAACCACACGTTCATGGGGAGGGTTTTCTCCACGGGGAGCCCGTGAACTTGGGGTTAGTTCATTCCTTCCCTCATTCAGCCACAGCTTCCCGCCTGGCACTGCCCCAGCGTGCGGGGACAGGATTCCCACAGCCACCTGTGTCACCTGCGGGGTAGAGCCCTGTGGCCTGGATTCAGGTCAGACACACCAGGGTGGCCAACTTCTGACCAGGGAGGCGGGAGCAGAAGTGACTCACGAAAGTGTCTGCTCTTCCGCAGGACCGCCGTCCCGTCCCTTCCCTTTTCTCTTCCTGCTGGCTGGTTTGTGGCGCCCGAGTGGCCATCTTGGCCGTGGTGAAGATGGGCGAAGCCCCAAGCTGGAGGGTGCCGGGGATCCCACACGGTGGGGCCTCCGTACCTGTCTTAGGTGGCTTAGACTTGGGTGCAACATGAGGACAGGAATTTCCACTGCACAGAATCCTCACTGTTTGGAGTGGACGCCCTCTAGCCTCTGTCCCCACGCAGTGACCTTCCCCCAGCTCTTGTCTGTTTTCTCATCAGTAAACCAGGGATGACCGCCATCACAGTTGCCACGGAGGGCAGGCGGGACGAGAGCTCAGGGTGGGTCTGGGGCGCCTGAGCACGGGGAGCACTCCCAGGGAGCGTGACTGTGGCTGGCACTCCCCGCTCTCCGCTAAGGATGGGATCCGTGCTGGAAATCTGGAAGCCGGCCGGAGCCCGAGTGGCGTTGGAGAGGGTGTGGCTGTTTGTGTTTCTGCTGGCCCAGAGGACACCGTCGGCTCCCAGTCAGTCTCCGTGGGCACTGCCAGGTGTCTGGATTGGGACTGCACAGCCCTACTTTTGTGCTTTCAGTCCAGGAAACAAAATGGAAAAAGAAAAGAAAAACCCAGACACATGAGTGTGTGTCCAGCGTGTCTGCTGAAACCATCTGGCCTTGCTGGCTGCGAATTTCAAGACGCACCATCCAGGTCGATCTCTGCCCTCGACTCATGTGCAGAATTCACCTTCTGTGCACCACTGTCTTTCCGAGCTCTTTTCTTCTCCTTTACCCCCCAACCCAACCTTCGGTTTATGAACCCTGGGTCTTTGCTCCACTGGGAAAGGGACCCGGTGGAGATCGCACCCCCTGGGACATCTGCATCTTAAAAGAGAAGCAGAAGCAGAGCTTCTGTGGAAGGACGGGTGGCCATATGGTCCAAACCGGGAAGTTATTAATAATTATGCTGAGACAACAGCCTGCTGTGGGGTTGTCTGTCTCAGGCAAACTGGGGTGTGCGCTCGGCTGTCCATACGGGGATCGTTGCTCTAAGTGGGGAGCAATCCACAGAAGGGGATGGACGGTGATTAGGAGGCTTTTGCTGCATCTTGGTAGGGTCTCGTCAGGGGATAAGGAACTGTCTGAGGTTTCAACTGACTTAAATGACAAGGAAAATTACAACACAACAGGTCCAGAGGCAGGCGGTTCCACGTGGGTTAATTCAGGAGCTCGGTGACACCACAGCTACAGGTTCTGTCCCTCTGTTATTCTGCATCTTCCATCAGTCAGCACTGTCCTCCCTGATGGTCTCAGACCCAAGTGGCCAGCACACTCGGGGCATCTTGGCTTCACTGCTCAGAACAGCTGACAATCAACCAAGGGTCAGCAGCACTCGAAGCACTTTAGATCTGGGAAGTATTTTCATCTGCACAACAACCCTGTGAGGGAGGAACTCATCTGCCCCGTTTTACAGACCAGGATCATTGCGGCCTGGAAAGGTGAAGTCACCTGCATAAAAACCACACAATTAGGAAGTGGTCGGGCTGGGACTGGAACCCAGCAGCTGGTTTCTAGAGCACAAGACTGTCCACGGATTGGCTGAGAAGGCATGCATGCCAATGACAGAGGGGCAAAGTCCCAGCTCTATTCCCAGTGTTTTGTGGCACCAATATGATTTGGCAAAGCTCTGGATTCCAGCTTCATCTGATATCTATCAAGCTCCAATCAGATCTGGAACCACAGCCCTTTGGAGAGAGAGCTGCTTCCAACAGCAGGGCTATCTTTGGGAGGTTGTTTCTTTCTTTCTTTCCTTCCTTCCTTCCTTCCTCCCTCCCTCCCTTCCTTTCTTTCTTTACTGGGAATTGAACCCAGGGGCACTTGACCACTGAGCCACATCCCCAGCCTTATTTTTTATTTTATTTAGAGGCAGGGTCTCACTGAGTTGCTTGGTACCTCGCCATTGCTGAGGCTGGCTTTGAACTCGCGATCCTCCTGCCTCAGCCTCCTGGACTGCTGGGATTACAGGCGTGGACCACTATGCCCGGCTTGAAGAGGGGCTGACGCCGGCAGTCAGAGGCGGCTCTACTGGACTATCTGGAGGAGAATTATATTTCCATCTGAAGCAATGAAGCTAGGTCCGTGTGATCAGCCTTGGGTTCCGCTGTCCAGCTGTTCTGTCCAGTTCCAAGGCCAGTGGGGCCACTTCCCTCTTCTCAGAAAGCTGTTCTAGGTGCTCAGAGTGGGGGTGGGGAGCCTGATATACCAAGAACTCATTTGCATGTGGAAAATGACTGACACCCCTGGGCAGCCAGCAGCTCACTGGGCACCTGGGGAAAAGCCCCTCCCCACCCCCTGCTTTCTCCTAATTAACTTTTCTTGTAGGGGAAGCTTAGGGAGAGGCTTGCAGTCCCAAGGCCACGGAACCTGACAGGGTCTTGTCGGGAACAAGGAACTGACTGAAGTTGCCAAGCAGCGGAGTCTTCTCCCCCACAATGTGAAACTCGTGAAGCCAGACGCATCGGCATTTCCCAGCCTGAGCGAGGAGCGTGGCAACGGGCTCTAAAATTGTCCCCAGGAGACTCTCCCTCTCCTATCAGCACTCCCCTCCCCCAGCTGAAGGCGTCTCCTTTTCTGTCTTCACCTTTTCCCACCTCACTGTTGTTTTATGACTTTCCCGGCTGCAGCCTGGCCCAAGCCCTGCCCTGAGAGATCACGCCCGGGACCCAGGGGCTGCCCACCAGAGTCCTGGAGCGGGTGGCTGGGGTGACGGGGAAGGAGAGAGAAGAGGTCAAGGCTGAGGCGGGGACAGGGAAAGAAAGTCCCCCCCTTGGGCTTGTGGAGCTGCTCTGTGCCAGGATCAGCTGGGGGCCCACTGATCCCAGCAAGAGTGGGGACCCTGGGTAACGGGGCCCGGGGCGGGCAGTGACCTGAGCCTGTCTCCCAGCACATCCTCTGTGGGCCTGAGGGAAGCCAAGGATCTGGTTTATTTGTTGTTTATTTGGTTATTCCCCTTCGTCCCCTGCTCTGGACTGAAGGGCGGGACCTACTGGTTGTCTTTACTGTGGTGCCCTCGCTGGCGCACAGTAGGCCCTCATTATGTACCTGCCGAAGGACAGAAGCAACTGGCTAAGTCCTTTTAGTCCACCGTCCCCTGCTGGAGTCACAAGGGTGCCGAGGGCCTGAATGCGGCGGGCTGTCCCCTCTGCAGTCTGGGCACGTCCCCCAGGCCCGGCAGCAGACGCCTGTGGCACACGCTTTAGGTGCCCCCCAAGTCGATCCCTTCTTGCTTGACAGCAGAGCCCCGAGTTGTTCTGGCAGCCACGGCCCAGGAATGAAGCAGGTCTGATCTAAGTCAATGGTGGCAGGCTTTGCTCTCCGTCAGGGAACATGCAAGAGTGGCCAAATGGCCCAGCTCTGACCTGCTGGGGCCGTGAGGCTCTTCCCTGATAAGACAGGCACAGAGCAGTCAGCAGGGCCTTTGTCCTTGTCTTTCCTGCCATGGACTTGCTGTGTGAGAAGGCAATGGTGCCCTTTCAGCAGCTATCTTGTGACTCTGAGGCCCCAAACCTGGGGAGAAAAAGCCTCCGTGATGGGCACAGCAGGGTCAGAGGTGACTTGATGTTGTCACCAAGTTCTGAACCCACCTTAGGAATACACCTCTTCTAGACTCTTGCTAAACAAGCAATGTCCTGTCTTAAGCCATCAGTAGCCCATTTCTCCTCCTTGCAGCCAAATGCATCTTAATGGATCAGCACTCAGCCCTCCCCCACGCACTCCGGGCTCTCCACATCACTCAGGGATCCTGCAGCAACCTTCCATGGAGGCCCTGGCGCTCTCAGTTCACAGAGGAGGCCCACGGGCACCAGCAAGCCTTAAGCATCTGATTAAAAGCTGTATCATCTTTCAGAGGAGGATGGGGAAAAATCCCAGAGGAACCCAGGGAGCAAGAGGGTGGGCAGGACACGGGCACAGGCCCAGGATGGTCTCAGTCACAGTGTGGGAAGGTCCAGACATTCTTTTTGGGGGCGTGGGTCAATTCTTCCGCGAAACATGGGATTTTGGTGTGAATTTGACACTAGCCCTCCCTGGCTGAGAAGGGGACTGACATCCGCTGAGCACCTACTGTGTGCCAACAGTTTGTGTAAGGTTCTTTATCAGTGGTTCTCGACAGGGGGCAATTCTATCTCCCAGGGGACAGCGGGCAGTATCTGGGGATGGTTTTGGCTCCCACACTGGGGAGGGGCACTACTGGCCTCTAGGAGGTACAGTACGCTGCCTATTGTCCTAGAGGCACAGGACGTACCCCGACAACAGTTATCTGACTTCAAACGTCAACAAGGCAAGGTTAAGAAGCTCTGTACATGTGTACAGTGTGGTCTCCCAGACCCCCTCTTTACAAACTGGAAAACTGAGGCTCAGAGAGGCATTAGGACCACCCCAAGGTCACACAGCAGAGCTGTTCCAGAGCCCTTTACCACTTTGTGAGGAATCCAGGGAACAAAAGGCCAGCCACCTTTGGACACAACTGGTTCCAGGACCCACACCCGAGGGCTCACCACTGACCCCCTTTCCTCAGTACACCTTCAGGCACCCCAAGGCCAGATGGGATGCACCTGCTCTGGGAGGGCAGAAGTCACCATTCTCTCCTGTGTCTGTAGGCACTTGCAGTGTCTACCCTGAGGCCACCAGGAGAACAATCCTAGGCATCTGGAATCGAGATAAATAAGCAATAATGTTCCTGCCCCGAAGATGATTATAGTTCGGAGGTGGCTATTACGTGATTCAGCTGATCTACCTCAGAGAAAATACAGTCTTCAGCTGGCAACTGGGCGGTTAGTGGTGCATGGGCAGCTCAGAGAGGGGTCAGGCCCAAGGGCAGGTCACAAATGCAGTAGTGATTAAGAACAAACGCTGGCAGAGAACTTTCTAGGTGCTGAGAGCTGTTCAAGTACTTCCCACTGACCGACAGGCCCTAGGAGCTGGGTGCCACCGCTACGCCCATTGCACTGAGGGAAACACTGAGGACCCTGATGCTGGACCCAGCCTGGCCAGCAGTTAGCCAGGGAGGGGCTGGGTGGAGCCTGGGGGCTCTGGGTCCTGGGCCCCCTCTTTCCTCACCTGCCTGTCAAGTGGTTCCTTTTATTATCAAGGTCACATTAGACTAGAAGCTGGATTTCCCAAGGTCTTATCCCGGTGGGGTGCAAGGGAGGAGGAGGGGGCAGGGGACAATGTCTTCTGGGAAAGGTGGGAAGGGCAAGGGTCCTGGAGCAGAGAAGTTCAGGCACAAGAGAACAAGGAGGGAAGAGAGAAAAAGAAAGGGAAAGAAAGGAGAGCCAGCTGCTCAAGGTCGTGGCAGGCCCCAGGGCACCCAAAAGGCCCGGGAGTCACCTCCCTGCAGTGGCCGCCCCTCTTGCCCGCTTCCCTCCCGGGGCGGCGGGGACGCTCGTGGGGCGAGGGCGCTGGCTGGTGCAGCTCGCCCGTCACTGTCGCCGCCCGCCTTTTCTCCGCCCGCCCTGCGTGGTGTGCCCGCGCTCAGGAGTGTCGCGCGTAGCCTGCGGCGGGGGCGCCACGCGGCGGGGCGCGGAGCCGGACCCCCGCCTCCCCGGCTCCGCGGGCCCTTCCGGAGGTTCCCGCGCGCGCCCCGCTGAGCTTCCGACGTCGGCGCCGGGCGCGCGGCGCGTCTCCGGGGCCCGCGCGCGCCGAGCGCCTCTGCGGCGGGAGCGCGGCGTGGCACTTGGCAGACGCTCCCTGGCGGCGGGGGCGGCGGCGGCCGAGTCTG